AGAGGTATACAATGCTAGGTATTCAGGGAACAGAAAGAGAAGGAAGGTATAGAGAGACGAGAAACTGAGTAATGAAGAAAGACAAAAAGGGAAAAAGAGGGAAAAGAAAACAAAACAAATTAAAAAAAAAAGAACAAGAAAAGCCCCCCAAAAAACAGAAGAAAAAAAAAAATAACGAAAAAAGAAATGTCCTCAGGGATCCCTCTGCACGTCTGTGCAAGCCAAGGGGGTAGTCTTCTTTCCACGTAGCACCACCTGGCCAGGAATGGCTCCCAACTCAAGAAAAGGAAAAGAAAACAAACAAACGAACAAAAGTCCCGGGATCCCACCATGCGGCAGCCCAGACTGGAAAGCAGCTCCACACTCGAATGGAGCGCCACAGCCCCTCAGGAAGAAGCAAAGATGGTGCACGGAGCCAGGTATTTGAGCGAAAGGAGGGGGAGGTGGTGAGAAGTAAGGAAGAAATCAAAAGAAGCAGAAAAAAAAGCAACACCAGCAGCCAACAAATGGCACTCAGAGAGCCAGCTAGTGTGGGCTGGTGGAATCCAAGCAGCTGGTGTTTCCCAGACAAGAGATTGTGTCCGCAGGAAGTAGAGGAGGCCGAGTGGGGGTGAAGAAGGGTGGCGGGTGGGAAAGCGTATATTGCAAATTACCAGTTGTTTTGTCTCCCGCTGGAAGCACCGTGAAGCTGCTTTCTCATACCCCGTTTGCTGGTCTCTGATAGGAGTCCAAGATGGTGGATCCTCGCTGCGTTAGCTGGTAGGGGACCTCTGCATGAATCTCTCCTCATTGTCCATTCTCTGTCAGTTTTCTCACTCCATTTGGTGCTTGGCTGAGTTCTTTATCTCTTCATTTGATGTTTTAGGGTTTCAGGATTGTTGTTTTCTCTGTTCGGCTTAGTTTTTCGGATCTTTGCTGTGGAGGGATGGCGTGGTGCTTCTGCCTAGAGCGCCATTTTGCCAGAAGTTCTGATTTTCATTTTTTAGATAAGCTCTTCGACATATCAAGAATCATGCAGATGGAAGTATCTCACAGTTGGTTGGAAAGGTAGGACTAAAGTTGAGCAAGAAGTCAGGCTAAAGATATCTATTTCATCAGAGTCACCCATGTATATGTAATAGTGAAATCTATTACAACGAAAGTGTGAGGTTTTCAAGAGACCCCGTCTGGAGGGGAAGAGTAAAGGGTGGAAGACAAAATCTTGAGGAATATCTAGTTAGGGAGAGTTGGTAAGAAGGTACATTAGCAAAGAAAACAGAATCATAGATCTTAAGAACCAGAACAATATGGTCCACTAGCATGTTTGAGTAGCAAGGCTGTAGGAAAATGGGACATCTCCAATTCCTTTACTTTTTTGATATGTTGCTTCATGAAAATGTATTCTGTTCTCCTATTAGATGAGTTCTGCTTCTCTATTAAGTATTTTAATAAAATGTTGCTGCTTTTAAAAAATTAAGACAGCAGTGTATGCTGTTCAAAAAAAATCCAATATGCAGCGTAGAAATCAAATGTACATGCATATTATAAACCACATTTTCTCCTCCTTTCTTTCTCTATCTCTGTGTTTCTCCCTCCCTCTCTCTCTCTCATTCACCGTGACCACTAAGCCTTAATAAATGGTTGGTGAATGACGGTAACTCCAATCTCGAGCCTAGCGAAATTCAGGCCTTTTTAAAGTAGGAATCCGATCAGGGTGGGCAGGGCTTTGGGAAGGGCTCTAGTTCCGGGATTACTGAACCGAGCAGCTTGTAGGGACCTTTGCACACAGTCTGGCAAGATGCTGGGAAGGGAGAGGGGGAGTTAACTCCACAAATGAGCCCTGAGCTGTGGCGGTCTCACGCCACCCTGGATGTTGTCCCGAGGCTGCTGGCCAGGGCATGTCGTGGCACCTCAAACACCTTGAACGACTTTCTTCAACTAGGGCAGGGATTTAATTTCTGTGGCCCTCTCCGCCCGCAACCCTAACTGACTCGGACCCTTTCTACCCATCTCAGGATGAGCTTCCAGAGCACCACAGCACGCTCTCCAGGCCACGCGGGGGCGCGGTGCGAAACGAAGGGCGTGTGTGTGGTACCGCCGCCTGGCTGAACTCTCCGGAAGTGACGCACTGTCCCACACATGTGGTCCCCTGCCTGCCGGCGGAAACGTTGCCGCGTCCTGTTGAAGTGCCGTCTGCCCGTTTGTAGTAGTGTCCACCTGGGTGCGAACATGGCGCACTACAACTTCAAGAAGATTATGGTGGTTCCGTCCGCCAAGGTAAACGGCTCGCCAGTTGCCATGGTGCTCCGATATTTCTGTGAAAGGTCCTTCTGTCTTTTTCGACGTTCTCTTTGTCAGACTAGCTGAAGAGGAGTCGGTGCTGGTGACACGTGCGCGGCAGGGCGAGGGGTAAGCGGGGCCTGGGGAGTCCGTCGTAAGACCCCGGCCCGGTATTTTTGTGTCTGCGACCCGCGGGCGTCTCTGGAGACAGCCTGTTGGGCCCTGTACCCCCGGCAGCTGTGTCCGTCCTCTGGGAGGAGGGTCCTGTCGGCGACCTGGCTGGTTTCTATAACTGGTGTTTGGAGAGGAGCTCATTTTTTTTCCCCTTGTTGTCAGTTCCCACAGCTAGGCCATATTCTCTCTCGAGATTAGGATCCCTCTCCGTTTTGGAGTCCCAGTCACCTGGAAGAGACCGTTGTTGGTTGATTAGGTAGAGTGAGGTTAAGTGGTGTTCCAAATATCCGAGGAAGGAAACTCAAGCCATGACCTTACAGCCGCACCTTGGCCTTCTGATACAGATTCAGCATAGTTTTCCCGTCACCTCTCAGTGAGTTTTGGTTCGCTGCTCTCAATGGGTTAACGCTTTTTGATTTTTAAATCATACTCTTTCGCTATTGGATTCGGGAAACGCTTGTTTTTCCTGACATAGCAGGGTGAACATGGTCAGACTAAATTTGTATAGTATCAGATTCAGTAAGAATGAGTCCATAAAGCGTTGAGTATTAGTACTTTTCAAAAGTAGAGTTTTTGTGTAGTGAATGTTCAATATTATTTGTGATTGCATGAGATAAAGGCGTTCATCGTGAAACACTTGTTTCTTATGCACAGTGCTGAGTACTGCACATGAGGACAGATTTATAGGAGGAATTGTGGACGTTGTTAAACTAACTGCAGTGTGAACAGATACACGTCAGTATTTCATTTTCCTCTTCAGGTCTCAACAGTAGAGTTAGTTTGACTTGGAAAGCTTTGTTAAGAGCTAGTATTTTAGATTCATAACACAATGAATTGTCTCATTACTTTTTTAAAAAAAATAATTTATGGCAAATCTCCTGCTAGATTGTAGTATTTGCGACTATAGGGGTCATGTTTTATTTGTACTTCTTTTATTTGTACTTTTGAGTCATGTTATTTTCTGAGCGATCTCTCCAGTTAAATGAATTCTTCACCTCTTGAAACAGCAAATGCACAAAGTTTTTGCTTTATAGGGAATAGAGCTCTTTGAATCATGAATTTTGTTCAGATAACTGAGCTATGTAGAGATCTTTAAAATATATTAGTAGCACAGTATCTATCTTCTGTTACCTAGAGAACAGATGAGTTTATTTATGTTTAAAGATGGGTAATGGTAGTCCTTGGGTGATTGGAATTAAAGAATAGCATCAGGAAAATATGAGATAAAATTCATTCTAGAAGCTGTTTAGTGAATGTCTGTTGTGTGTCAGGTACGGTGGTAACAAAAATGAATAAGATGCAGTACCTACCGTTTTGAAAGTGGTTTTCTAGAGATGTGTAAAAATACTTAAAACCATACTAGAAATATGAAAGTTGTTTTAATGAAGGAATATACCCAGATTTGGAATAGAAGAGTGCAGTTAGTTACGGAGGGTGGGAGAGTCATAGAAAACTTAATGAAGTAGGTACCTTTTCAACTGGCAGTTTAAGGATCAGTAGAAGCTACTAGATGGAGGAGGTTGTAGAGGAAATCTCATACATATACACAGATGTGTATATCTCTCACAGCACCTATTATTGTGATTACCTTACTTGTCCATTTCTGTGTCACTGGACCCTGAGTTCCTTAAGGGAAGGACTATGTTTCATTGTTTTATCTTTAGCACCGGAGTATCCCTGTCATCCCTTATACTAAATGATCAGTATTGCTGAATCAATGAAAGTGTTCAATGGAAAATCAAGTTATTTTGTATGGCTAGATATGTGGGATTTAGGAAGTGAAAAGAGAGAGGAAGCATGGGGACAGAGTCCTTACTGCAGAAAAGTAGAATTGTTTACACTGGGGACTAGATGTAAAAATCTTTTATGTGCTCAAATAGCCACCATGCATATTCTTAGGACTAGAACCTTGAGAAATCAGAAACAGTGAGTTTTAGTTTTACTCATTTTGTATACTTTCAAAGTTAAAAGATACGCATATTAAAACTGGAATTGTACAGTTTCTTTTTTTCCTGTAATATTTTCTAATTTATGCTTGAAGTGTCTACTTAAGTTTCAAAGCTTCTTAAATATTTGGAAGTTAAAATAGCATCAAGAAAGTATAGGATAAAATTAATTTCAACAACCATTTGGTGTTTCTTAAGGGCCAGAAACTAGATATGAAGATGAATAGAACTGTGTATAAAAGATTAAAGATTTAGTTAGCAGTAATAGATGTTTATTGTTCAATATATATAGTACTACTTGTTATTAGTCTTTTAAACTTTTAAATAGGTGAATGGAAAGTACGTGTTTTTGGTACAACTATGTCTTATTTTCTTTAATTGCAGGACTTTATTGATCTGACATTATCGAAGACTCAACGAAAGACTCCAACAGTTATTCATAAACATTATCAAATTCATCGCATTAGACATTTTTACATGAGGAAAGTCAAATTTACTCAACAGAATTACCATGACAGACTCTCTCAGATCTTAGCAGATTTCCCCAAATTGGAT